TTCTAGCAGGTACCTAATTGCTGCATGGTTAGTGTAAACAATAACTTTCGAGCCAATCAAGTATGACCTGAATTTGTCGAATGCAAAAACAACAGCCAACATCTCTTTTTCTGTCACAATGTAATTGAGTTGTGCACGCTTAACGTTCTGCTTGTATAATAAATTGGGTGCATCAGTTTACCCTTTCGCTGCCCCAAGACTGCTCCTATGGCATAGTCACTTGCGTCGCACATGAGCTCAAATGGTTACTCCCAGTTGGGTGCAACAATGATGGGTGCAGTCATCAATCTCTTCTTCAGCTCCTCAAATGCCAACCTGCAATCATTAGAAAACACAAAGGGTGATCTTTTTCAAGGAGTTTTCATAATGGGTTAGCAATTTTGGAGAAATCTTTTATGAATCGCATGTAGAACCCGGCGTGCCCAAGGAAACTTCTCACCGCCTTGACTGAAGTGGGCGGTGGTAGTTTTTCAATCATGTCAACCTTAGCATGGTCGGCCTTAATTCCTTTACTGGACACTCGATGTCCCAGGACTATCCCTTCCTGTACCATAAAATGGCACTTCTCCCAGTTCAACACTAAATTTGTCTCCACACATCTTTTGAGCACTCTTCTTAAGTTGTGAATACAGTCCTCGAATGAATCTCCCACCACGGATAAATCATCCATAAAGACCTCCATAATATCCTCCACCATGTTTGTGAAAATGGCTAACATGCACCGTTGAAATGTCGCTGGTGCATTGCAAAGCCCAAACGCCATTCTCCGAAAGGCGAAGATGTCATAAGGACAAGTGAAGGATGTTTTCTCTCTATCTTCGGGGGCTATTGATATCTGATTGTACCCCGAATATCCATCTAAGAAACAGAAGTGTGATCGCGCGACCAGCCTGTCCAACATTTGGTCAATAAAAGGCAAGGGGAAGTGGTCCTTCCAGGTGGCTGTATTCAATTTTCGGTAATCCATGCAAATCCGCCATCCCGTGACTGTGCGAGTTGAGATCAACTCATTGTTCTCATTTTGCACAACAGTCATTCCCCCCTTTTTCGGCACACATTGGACAGGGCTGACCCAATTGCTATCAAAGATGGGAAGATGATTCCCGCATCTAACCATTTGATCACTTCCTTCTTTACTACCTCTTTCATGTTCGGGTTTAGCTTTCATTGATGTTCTTTGGAAGGTTTGTGCCCTTCTTCCAAGAGAATCTTGTGCATACAGAAGGCTGGGCTGATACCCTTTATGTCTTCCATGGTCTAGCCAATGGTAGTCTTACTTTCCTACAGTACCTGTAAAAGCTGTTCTACTTGCACATCTAGCAAACCAGATGATATAATAACAGGAAAAGTAGAATCAGGGCCTAAGAAAATGTACCTGAGGTGAGCTAGGAGCGGCTTCAGCTCCAGCTTGGGTGGTTCCTCTACTGATGGCTTTGCTGGAGGTGTAGCCCTTTTTTCTAACTCAAGGGACTCAAACTGAGGGTTTCTTTTCCAGAATCCTTGGCCTTCAAGTTCCATGACCCACTCAGCTAACCCTTCACCATCCATCTCTTCTAAATTTGTGAGACATGCCTCCAATGGATCTTTAGCAGCCAGGGTCACATCATCTTCTTGCAAAATTACATCCACTGCCTCCACTAGAGAGCAATTAGCATATTCACTGGGTCTCCTCATAGATTGCTGAACATTGAATATGACTTCTTTATCGTTCAATCTCATTTTTAATTCCTCAGTCTCACAATCGATCAGTACTCTCCCAGTGGCCAAAAATGGCCTACCTAAAATGATAGGTATCTCTTCATCTACCTGACAATCAAGAATAACAAAGTTTGTAGGGAACACGAACTTCCCCACTTGCACCAATACATCATCAAGAATCCCAGTAGGCCTTTTTACCGTGCGGTCAGCCAGCTGCAGCAGCATCGAAGTCAGTCTGGCTCTGCCAATGCCTAGTTTGGTGTATACAGCCAGAGGCATCAAATTTATGCTGGCTCCCAAATCACATAATGCCTTTGCAAAGGCATAACTCCCAATCGTGCATGGAATAGTGAAACTACCTGGGTCTGGCATCTTTTGAGCCATCGGTTTGGTCACTATTGCGCTGCAGGTCTGCGTCAGAGTCACTGTGGATAGGTCCTGAAAATCAAACTTCCGTGAGATTAGGTCTTTCATCATCTTTGCATAACCTGGCATCTCCCTCAAGGCATCCATCAAAGGAATATTCAACTGAATTTGACGCAGCATCTCCATAAATTTCTTGTATTGATCTTCCTTCTTTTGTTTTACCAGTCTCTGAGGGAATGGTGCCGGTATCACCCTTTGTGCACTGTTTGCTGGCTTCTCTTTGTTGGGGTTCTGTGGTACAAGAGGCACCACCTACTCTGTAGCTTGTTCATTTACCTTAGCCTTACCTTTTTCCTCTTGACCCTGTTCAACCACCACTTTAGTCAGATTTGATGGTTCATCTACCTCTAGTGGAATTGGAGTGGCTGGCGTAGTCTCTTTGCTGGCTTGTGCAAACTCTTGCTCTTTGTCTAAATCTCTCCCATTCCGGAGACTTACTGCCATCAGCTGATTCGGGTTTGGCTCCTTGGGGTTAATATTTGTGTTTGCTGGCAATGTTCCCTGGGGGTGGTTGTTTAAAGCCATAGACAACTGCCCCAACTGAGTTTCAATGTTCTTTATTGCTGAATCATGTACTGCCAACTTTTATTGCATCTTACCATTTGTCCCAATGAGTTGCTGGAGCATCCCCCTGATCTCTACCATGTTGTTATCTTGCTACTGAGGAGGTTGCTGATATGTCAACTGTTGTTGGTTCTACTATGGGTAGCCCTGTTGTCTCTGGTGGTATGGCACCATTTGGCCTTGAACTTGCATGCCCCCAGGTTGAGGCATGTTAGGTTTGTATTGCTGATTTGGTGTCGGTCTCCACTATTGTCCTCCTTGTCTCTGACCCCCAAAGTTGTTAGCATAATTCATATATTCCCTTGCCCCTTGATTTTCACCTTCTCCGCTCCATGAGCGCACATAAGACTGATTAACACAGGGCGTACACAGTCTTCCATTTGTCGTGTCAACAATGTGCATCTGTTTGGTACCCATCTCATCTATCTTCTTTGTCAAAATACTCATCTGAGTGTGGCCATGTTCTCTGCATGCGAATTATTTAGGCCAAGAGGAACTGAATGCACTATGGGTACCAGTATTGTACCTCTAGTCATCCACCCCGAATTCTGGGACATCTTGTCAAGAAGGACTTTGCACTCGGTGAATGTCTTACTCAAAAATGCACCTCCAACTGAAGCATCCACATTGGCCTTTAGATTGTCAGCTAACCCCATGTAGAATCTCTGGCCAAACATCTGGTCTGGAATGTCATGGTGAGAACACTTCACCAACATCCCTTTAAATCTTTCCCAAGTTTTTTGCATGGTCTCAGTCGGTTGCTGCTTGTACTGCAATATTTCATCAATTTGCCTTGCAGTCTTATTGGGCGGGTAGAACTTATTCAGGAACTGCTTTACTAATTCCTTCTAGGTGACAATGGAATTGATTGGGAGTGAATTCAGCCAAGTCTGAGCTTCCCCAGTCATAGAGAACGGGAACAATAATAGCTTGATAGCTTCTGGGGTCATATTTGGCTGCCTTTGAGTCACACAAATTGACAGAAAATTTTTCAAATGCTGCTGAGGATCTTCAATGTGTGACCCGGAGAACAATCCCTTATTCTGCAGTAGATGCAACATGTTGTTAGCGATCTGGAATGTCTCCGCTTGAATTGTGGGCACAGCTATGGCAGTTTCCAGGTTGTTAGATATGGGTTGAGACCAATCATAAAGTGCAGCTTCTGGCACAAGAGGTTCCACCACTCTGACGTTTGGGTCAGCTGGCTCATCCCTGATGTTTCCGTTGACGTTCTCTACGACACCCATGTCAACTTCAAGCTGGTGTGGTTGTTGTGTTTGTTGGATTCTCCTGTTGGCACGGTTCAATGCCCTGAATGTTTTCTCGGGGTCTGAAAGTCCTTCAAGCAGTTCTCCAGTCCTCGAAGAATTTCTAGGCATACACCTAAATTCCACAAGAGTTCAAACGTTAGAATTTCAATGAAAATTGTTTAACACCTTTGAAATTTGATTTAAACTAATAATTTTAACACTACTTTTAAGTAGTAATAAATAACACCGTTAGTTTCCCCGACAACGGCACCAAAATTTGATAACGCCCAACTATGCCTTTTAAAGGACAAAGCGGTCGCTACAAATATAATTCGATTTTTAAGTCCGGAATTGAATCCTCAGGGAACTAACCTATCTATTACCCTCTTCAGCAATGTTATTATCAACTCAATCAATCTCTAGATGCAAGATTTTTGATCAATAATGATTGGGTTTTTGTTTAACTACTTCAACTACTATTAAAAACAATGGTAAGCTAAAACAAAGATAATTCAACGGTAAAAAAGTCTAGGGCAGTGATTTCCCCAATTGCTAGTTTAGGTCCTGACTCTTTCGCTATAATCTCGCCATAATACTCTATGAGGATTAAGAGATATGGGTTATCGTAATTATCTCTCGATCAACTACAATAATTTACTACAGCATTCTCTTGAACTACTCTAGCTGATAATAGTTATGCAACTCTAATGTATCCCACCAAAGTTTTGTTATCTCTAAACCCACTTTTAAGTTCAAGTAATGAATCTCTTTAATTATCCAAAAGTGGTGTTGTTCAACCGCTGTCTAACCTAATACTCTTTCTCAAGCAATATAAGGTAATTAGACACGATTAATCAAGGGCCCATTCAATTAATCACCATACAAAACGTAGTTAAACAATCATATCATAAATCCAGCTCGATTATAACAACTTGAGTCAAAACTTTAACCAACAATTGGTTCCATCAACCCTAGATAAGTATTTAGCTACTCATAACAAAACAAGAGAAAACTACTAAATTGTTCATAATGTAAAATTGCAAGAATTAAAAGGAGATAAAAAAACTCTAATGTTTTGTTGATCTTCTCACACTTGTTCTTCCTCCAAAAGTAGTCTAAAATTAGCTTCCCCTTTCAATTGGGCGAGTTTTTAAAGCTTATAAGGGTTTTACAAAAAATTTCCCAAAATTACACTTTGGTCCTCAAACTTCCAGCTGCGTGAACAGTGCATCGCGCTCGCGGTCGACCACGGTGAAAGCTGACCTTTCTGCCTCACTTCAGTAACCTGTCGCGGTTCACCGTGGTCGCGGTAGCCTTCTTGCCTATGTCATTTATGCTTCTTTGTGTTCTGGTACTTCTCGAGTGAGTGTTTTTCTTCACATTATCGCCTCCAAAATACTCCATGTTGCTTCCTCTCATATAATATTCCCTGCTAAACAAAAGAACGCTATTTAGAGCATTTTGTTGGCAATTTATCTATAAAACAACAAAGTATGGTCATATTAAGGTGTAAATATCAACTATATCGCCTACTATCACGAACCCACATAACCACGACGGAATGTCATAGATGTCTGTTTGAATGCTATAGTTGGAACTACATCCAAGCCTAAACCTCGATCACGGCCGGGGTGCTCGGGACCAAATACTATGCCAAGTGCATCATTAGGTGAAGGTTCGTCAAGACTTTCTGATCTTTGATTTCGGATTTCTTCAACTCTTTCCTACAAAAATTGAAGAAGCATAAACTAAGCAATAGATCAAATGACTGGTACATTTGAAAAACAGGTACTGAAAACATGTTATGGTCTTAGCTTCTCAAGTTTCATAACATTCATGCAGTAAACTTGTGGCTTGATAATTTCATCAATTCAAAGAAGTCAAATTAGCAATTACTTACTAAATGCATTAATAAAATCACCATTTGGAGAGTTTATCTTTTCAATTACAGATCCATCTTGTCAACATTATCGCTGCTATTCCATACATAATAGTAACTAAATTATTGGAACTGCAGAGGTAACAACAAACCATCAAAGAAGATTTGGAGCATAATCCCTGCTTGAATGGAAGGAAAGAAATGCGAAATGCTTTAAAGGGAAGCACCTTAAATACAAATGTATATGGCATTCGGCTTTTTGGCGTAATCTACTGGATGAAGACAGTATTATGTAGATTTCATAGAATCTTTACAAGAATAAGACCTTTTTGCAGGTATCCTTCTTTTTTGTTTTGTAGGGAAGGAATACTGAGGATAAAATTTTAAGAGTAGCCTAAAAAATGTCCATTTTTGCAAACGCCCAAATACTAGCTCTCACCAGTACGTATCGACCAAAACTTAGCTACTTAACTTAATGCTAATAAGTACTTTTTAGGTGAAGGTATTAGGTGGCTAATAAGTGTCTTTAAATATCAGTATTATGAGTGGCTAGTAAGTGCCTTTAATCCTTGCTTTCAAACAAGAAAGAAAAATGGACTTTGGTGCCATAACATGCATGTACGAAGAGTTGTCAGATTTTAAAAATGACCATACTATTTTGAAAGCGAAATTAAGGAATATCCACCAACTCTTGCCACCACTGTTATGTTGGGGGTGTGTTTATGCATAACCATATAATTGATGCGCTATGCAATCAATTATTATGACCGCAAATACTGAGTATAACGTATATATTATATGCGCTATAGCTTAACGGGGTAATTGGACGTTAAGGTATAACGCATTTTTTAGATGCGTTATATATAATATGATCCTCAATATATTTTTCACCTGTTTTGATCTCTTAAGTCAAAATTTACTATGTTTTAATTCTGGACTCACAAGTTTCTACCCTACTTTAAATTCAACAACGTATCAAAACATTACAAGAAATATGCCTGAAATAAAGGTTCAAGTCAATTCTCTACCATATCAGTCATATTTGCTTCTTAATCAATAAAGAGACCTATCATTACTCATTACATTAATACTTTTTAAACTAATTCAGCAGTTTAGATTAACTCAAAAAAGCAGCCCATATTGTTAGTGAATAATGAAAATAAAGGTCCAAGTCAAATCTCTACCATTTCAGTCATATTTGCATCTTGATCAATAAAGAGACCTATTACTTACTCATTAATCTTTTCACATCAGTATTCACCTATTCAAGAAGCTACCAATTTTGCTACTCATTCTACAAAGTAGGAGTCTATTTGATTTTTCAAATTCATTTGCATTATATTCATTGCAGATCTCATGTAAGCTTTGAGAATATACATGGGATTAAGGGGGATAAGTTAATCTTTAGTTCCTAGTATCTGTTTCCCATTTATTCTTGTTTTCTAAATTTGAGATCAATGGGTTCACTACAGTATAGAACAAGATAACCAATATGAACATTAAGCCAATAACCTTTCCCCAAGTCAAGCTAGGTATTAATACCTAACACATTTGACAATGTTATTTCAACAGCAGATAAAGAGCAGTATTAATCATAATTCCGTTGGATCTTGGGGTTGTAAAGTATCTTCTTCTATGAAATGGGCGCTATGACAAGTCTTTTGCATGGTCACATTTGATTTTTTACCATGCCAATATACTAAAATTTATATTTTTTGGGAAAAGGGTTTAAGAATCAGGTGCTCTTCTACATCTCGTCTTTGTCACTTGTTAAAATCACATTTTGGACACGGGCACTTTATTACGCGCCCATCAACTGACCCGTGCTCTAAAGCAAAATCCAAAAATTGGCTTAGACCATTTGCATATTCAAGTGTGTTTTATGATTTGCTAATCCAAGATTTATCAATTGACATGCTAGAAAGGAAGACATAAGATCACATTACAGTTGCTTAACAAAAAAGATAGTTCAAAGCTTATATGTGGAAAACATAACCTATGAAATAACAACATTTCATAAGATAATAAAAATTAGTGTTTTTCTAAAGACTTCCACTATAATATTTTCCTCAGTTTTCTTTACCCCTTTTTTTTTTCTTCGGGTAATAACCCAACCTCCAAAATTGAGTGAAGAGAGCATAAACTTACTTTAAAAGAGTAAAATGTGAACAGTTTTACTTTTATCGATATCTTTAATAAAATTGCATTTCTTATACTAAAAACTGAAGGGAGAATAAGCAAATTCTACCCAAAATTAGCATGTGATTTCATAATAGCTTCATTAATAAAGGCTGTTGGAAAACTAATTCAAAGTTGTAATAGAAATTTAAAATTGTTTAGAATTTGGTATTTGCTAGTTTATTTAATTCATGTCTAAATAGGATTAGATTTAATATAAGAATATGCTTTGTTATTTCTAATTGAAATAGGTTTTGTATTATTATAAATATGGGTATTACTAGCTTATTTTAATGTGTGGAGATTTATGAGAATTGTAGAGAGCTTTCAGAGATTAATAATAAAATATTTTCCTTCAAATTGGTATCAGAGCTTCTACGATCTTGGGAGAGAATCAAGTAGTTTCCGCTACCGTCGGGCGGCGCTAGGCAACGTGTGCCGCCCGACTGGCCAAAAATATGTTGGTAAAGTTATAGATAGTTGTCAACAGAATTAGACTATTCGATCAAAAGTTTCAAGACAAATTCAAGAAAAAAAAAGGGCAAGTTTAAAGAGGTGCAAACAAATATGGCACAGGATGAAGAAACTCTTCTCTAAAAGTTGGAGAGAGGTTTAAAAAGTTGGAAGTTTATTATGTGTTTGTAATGACCCGACCGGTCGTTTTGAGAGTTGTAGCTTTATTCCCCCATTTTCTGCTTCTTTTGTGTTCTACAGTTGTATTATGACGTACCGGGTTAGTTCGTTCGGGTCCGGAGTGATTTCGGAGTGAATTGAGATACTTAGTCTCTTAATTGGGAGCTTAAGTTGGAAAAGTCGACCGAATGTCGACTTATGCGTAAACGAACTCGGATTTGAATTTTAATGATTTTGTTAGCTCTGTTTAGGTGATTTTGGACTTAGGAGCGCCTCCGAATCGTGATTTGGAGGTCCGTGGTAGAATTAGGCTTGAATTGGCGAAAGTTAAAATTTTGAAAAGTTTGACCGGGAAGGGACTTTTTGATATCGGGGTCAGATTGAATTTTCAAAAATTGAAGTCACTTGGTAGTATCATTTATGACGTGTGTGCAAAATTTGAGGTCAATCAAACGTGGTTTGATAGATTTCGATGTCGTTTGTAGAATTTGGAAATTTAAAAGTTCATTAGGCTTGAATTCGGGTATAATTCGTGCTTTTGATGTTGTTTGAGGTGATTTGAGGATTCGACTAAATTCGTATGATATTTTGGGACTTGTTGGTATATTTGGTTGAGTTCCCGAGGGACTCGGGTGAGTTTCGAGTGGTTAACGAATCATTTTTTACCTTTAAGAGATAGTTGATGCATGTTGCTGCATTTTTTCTGGTTTCCTTATACGCAATCGCATGAGTGGGTCCGCGATTGCGTAGGTCTAATTAGGGAAGCTGAGAAATTTGTTCTATGTGATTGCCAGTTGAGGCCCGCGATCGCGAAGGATGGTGAGTCTAGCTATCGCGGACGCGAGGTGAGGTCCGCGTACGCGTAAAGGAAGTGAAGCAACTGTAGGGCGCACACTTTGCTCTTTGCGCTCGCGTAAGGTAGAACACGATTGCGTAGGTTAGAAATAGAAAAGGTACGCATTCGCCTGGGAGCAACCACGTTCGCGTAAGTCAAACTTGAGGGGTAGGTTGGCTTGTGCTATGCGAACGTGGGAGGATGGCCGCGTTCGCGATGAAGGATAACTAGGCAGCAGATTTAAATGTTCAAGACGAGGGTTTGAGTTCATAACATAAAAATTGATTTGGGAGCTTTGTGGGAGATATTTTTGAAGAGAATTTCACGTAGGTGTTTGGGATAAGTGATTCTTACTTGGTTTTGACTAAATTCTGTGATTTTATCCTTAATTTCATCATCTAATTTGTGATTTGGGGTAAAAAATTGGGAAAAATGAGGAAGAACTCTTGAGTTAGATTTTTGAATGGGATTTTTTATCGGATTTGAGTAAATTTAGTATGCTTAGACTCGTGAGTGAATGGGCTTTTGGATTTTGTGATTTTTTCGGATTTTGAGACGTGGGCCCGAGGGCCAAGTTCGGGCCAATTTCGGAATTTTTCTATAATTTAGTACTTTTCTTGTGGAATTGATCCCTTTAGCCTATATTGATTGTATTGTTCTACTTGTGGCTAGATTCGGAACGTTTGGAGACCGATTTGAGAGGCAAAGGCATTTCGAAGTAGAGATTTGCTCGGATTGGGGTAAGTAACAGTTATAAATCTGGTCCTAAGGGTATGAAACCTCCGATTTTGTATCGTGTGATCATTTTGGAGGTGACGGACATGCTGGTGACAGGCGTGTGGGCGTGCACCGAATGAATTGTGACTTGGTCCGTTCCGTGAGATTGTAATATGGAATAACTTAATGTAAACTACGTGTTTCCACTGTTTTATGGAGACTTGATTGAAATTCATGTTAGAAATCATGCTTAGACCATATGATATCACTATTGGGACCTGTTGGGGTCGTGTACTTGTTGAATTAGCTATTATTTGTTGTCTTGTACTTAGTCATGATTTTTACTTGCGTACTGTACCTTCATCTCTTCTTATTCCTTGTTGATATATATTATTATCTCTATTTGGGTTAATTTATATGATTTCTGAGAGCCCAAGAGACTAGGAAGGTTGATGACTGAGTGAGGCCTCGGTCCTAATGGTGAGATATTAATACCATTGTCGCGCCCCTTTTTCTAGCGAAATCGGGCTTCGACACGTGACATCTCTTTTAAGAAAGGTGTTAAAAGAGAGAGTCGCCACCTAACGAGTTTGAGGTGCGTTAGGGCACCTATTTGCAAATAACTCAGCTTTAACCAGTTTGCGCCACCAAAGGTCGGGTAAGGGATCAAAGTTACCTCGAAGAGAAGGTGTTAGACACTCTTCGAGGTCCACAACTGTGGGTCCCGGCCGAACTCGAACTATATGAATTAGTCTATATGATCAAATAAACGAAGAGAGAGCATTAAATTTAAGAAGTTTATTATAAACATGTTTTAAACAGAAGGTACAACTATTTTTTATTCT